CTTGTACCATCTTCCCCCTTATGTTCTGTGCTCCAGTCATGCTGACCTTTAATCAGTCTCTTATACTTGCCAATCTATAATAAAGTAGGTCTCCCACTCAGAGCCTCTGCATGTTTTTCCCTCTACACAAGAAGTTCTTCCCTCTTATCTTTACCTAGTTAACACTACTTTTATTTCAGCTCTCAATTATTGCTTCCTTAGGGAAATCTTCCTGATGATCAAATCACCCATCCATATGTCCTCATTGTATCGGGTTATTCTCCTTAATAATATCTACCACTGTTGCAATTTTACATGTATTTCTGTGACTGCTTGACTATCTCACTTTTCTATTAGACTATAAACTGCCTGAGGATAGGGACCATCAGGTTTTGCTTACAACTGCTACCCCAGACTCTAGCAAAAACAGTGGCTTCTCAGTAAGCATTCATTTGAATGATTGAGCTAGGAAGCCAAACAAATAGGGGAATAAATGGTGAGTAAAGAAAGGTAGTGATTTTACCTAAAACTTTTGGTTTTAACATGGGGACAGAGGTATTATTTAGAGGGGAATGTTGAGATTAAGACTGGGGGATGGATTTGTTAGTTAGCTGCTTGGTTCAAAAGCTGGAGAAGTTAAAACATGCTTAAATGCTAAAGGTAAAAAACCAGCAGAGGAGGAGGAGATACTCAACAAAGATGGAATAACCAACAGTATAACTTCTCTGAGGCTAGTATCCAGGAACCCAAAGCCTAGGTAGAAGTACTAGCCTTAGACAGAAAAAGAGGTAGCATCTCCATTGTAGCAGGATGAAAAGAAAAAAGGGAAAGTTCCAAAATAGGTTTATAGGTTTGGTGGTAGCAAGTTAAAAATTAGATAGTTCTAAACTTACAACTTATATTTATCCATGATGTCTGAAGAGAGGTGGTCTGTTGAAAGTCAGGGTCCAGAGAAGGGACTCAGATTAGAGAAAAACAGTAAAATAAATAAAAACTAGGATTGTTCTCCAGTACTGACAGCCCAGTTGAAATTAGTGGCCATGGACTTATGTGGCAGAAGATTATCCAAAAATGAAATATTCTCCAGCTGTGCTTGGAAGCCTTGCACAAACAAGGTAAATAGTCCTCAATGGTGAAGTTTTGACAGACACTTAAAAAGGGCAGAAAGTAAAGAAAGCTGAGGCATTAGAAAGAGAGTGAAGACAGAGAAAATAGCTCCTAAGCTGTACAAAAAGAGAAGATAAAATAGTTAAGAGGCTGGGCGCGGTGGCTCACGCCTGTAATCCTAGCTCTCTGGGAGGCCGAGGCGGACGGATCGTTTGAGTTCAGGAGTTCGAAACCAACCTGAGCAAGAGCGAGACCCCGTCTCTACTATAAATAGAAAGAAATTAATTGGCCAACTAATATATATAGAAAAAATTAGCCGGGCATGGTGGTGCATGCCTGTAGTCCCAGCTACTCGGGAGGCTGACGCAGAAGGATTGTTTGAGCCCAGGAGTTTGAGGTTGCTGTGAGCTAGGCTGATGCCATGGCACTCACTCTAGCCTGGGCAACAAAGTGAGACTCTGTCTCAAAAAAACCAAACAAAAAGCACTTTGCAGAGTGGTTGGTACAGAGGAAGTACTCAAAAAGTGTTACTATTATTGAGGGTTTAACACTGGTTATTCACAAAAACGCTAAAGATAATGAATGACCTGTAGCAATTTTTAGTTTTGAACAGATTAGTGTGTAGAAGTCAAGTCATTTTAGCTGGTAGGTAAGCCCAGTTGACTGCCCAATATTTAATCCTCAAATCACCTTTGTGGTTCTCTCATGTAACTCTCAATAAGGACTTTAACATAAGCTTTTAAGTTCCAATTATGCTTTAATTTATTTAACATGTGGAAACTGCAAACTATAATGGTACTCAGGAAGGTCTCAAAACATATCCCCTCAAATGGGTTCCTGAACTTCGTTAACAGCAAAAGAAAATGTATATGGGCAACAGTGATTATGACCCAGCCCTGCCTTGTAGAGTCTCTCTCTAGTATTAGCAGGTAACAAAATTAACCTAAACAAAAAGATAGGAAAATAAATGAAAGGTATTCAACCTAATTAAATAAGATACCACTATACCCATTAAAATGGCTGAACTTATAAAGACTGACAATATCAAGTGATGGCAAGGATGTAGAGCAAAAGCCTCTCTCATACAAAGCTGGCAGAAGTGTAACTTGGCTTAATCACTTTGGAAAACTGTATCACAGTATCCATTAAAGATGAATGTATATCCTATGACTCAAAAACTCATCTCCTTGGTATTTCCCAACAGAAATTCATACATTTTTTTGGTGTTGCACACCAAAAAATGTATATAATGTGCAAAAGTATTCAAAGTAGTACTATCCTTAATAGTCCCAAACTGAAAATAACCCAAATGTCCATAATGATAGAACAGATAAATTATGGTATTTTCATACAGACCACCACACACACACAAGGAAGAACTAGTGCTACACACAAAACAGATGAATTTCACAAACAAAATGTTGGCTTTAAGAAATCAAAACATGAGTTTATACTATATAATTCCATTTATATATATAAGCTCAAAAGCAGTAAAAATGAATCTATGGTGTGATAGAAAAGTGGTTGCCAATGGGGGGTTAGTGATTGAGAAGGGTATAATGGGGGACCCTCTCATGTACTAGTCATGTTCTCTTGTTTGATGTTCACTTTGTAATGATTCACTGAGCTGCGTGTTTATGATTTGTGCCTTCTTATGTGTAGCCCATACTTCACTGGAAAGTTTACTTAAAAAGAAAAGGCTAGAAATAACAAGAAGAATACAGGAAAAAGCTCTACAAGAAGCAGAGGCTGCTGGATCTGCAGAACTCCCTTTTACCTCTATGTATAGAATTGGCCACTATGCTACAGAGAGATGGAATGACCTAAATTACGTTGTCTAAGATAACAAAATGAATTAATGGTAGAGCAGTGACTGGAATAGAGGTATGCTAATCTCACCATTTTCAAATTCTCGAAGAGATGTTCCTGGATGGAACATCCAGAAGAGGTCCTTTTCATCCATTATCCTGATCCCCAAAGCAATGAGGTCATAGGGGAAGCGAAAATAGTCACGACACAAAAAATATTTCCTAAAGAACAAGAGCACTTACAAAATTGGTCCCCACTCAAACATTCCTTCTCTGGCTCAGATCAGCTACCATTTCTGCCAATTCCCCATCAACTGACCTTGTCATTCTCTCTGAAGTCCTTCCTGTGTCATGATGTTAAACAGAAAACACAATATAAACATAATGTAAATCAACTGCAAAATGAAAAACTACACATCTTGCAAAAGATGCAGGATTCCATGAAGTTGATAAAAGTGCTATTAGAATTGTTTGAATCACATACAAAACCACTGACAAAAAGAAAATGGGGCAGATTAAGGTTAACCACTGTGGAAGAGATCCCTTGTTGCTAAGTATCCATTTTCCCCTTCCTACTTGGTAACAGAACTCTGATTTTTCAGTAACTATACTTGTATTTTAACAGTAAATAAACAGATATCGATATAGTCCAAAGCTAAGTTTAAGAAATGTGAGTCAATTTTTAAACCTGAAGAGCTAAATGTATAGTCTCAGACAATCCCCTCCAGTAAACATTTGATGCTGCAACCCAGCTGCATCCTATTTAGGAACTGAGGCAATGCTTTATTCATTCTATGAATGAATACACATATATCTGAGGGAGTGGAGGGTACGTAATGATTCCACAACAACTTTGAGCACTGGTGCACTGTGTTCAGCTACCATTACAGGCAGAAATAGTTAAATGCATCAACAATTTGAAGTCAGTGGTATTGCAAGCACAAAAAGGTGTTCACGAAAGGAACATGAATGTGAAAAATAGAGACATAAAAGTAAGTTATATAAAATAATGAATTCAGGCATTCACAGCTACTTATGCACAAAGGCCAGGAAAGATTAACGCATTCCCGTAGCCATCTACAGAACTCATGCACTATGCCAGGAGCTGGTGAACAAAGACGAGATCCCTGCAGTCATCGTTTGCTTAAAGAAACCCTAAGTTAACATGTTTTTTTTTAAAAAATTTTTTTAATTCCTCTACTGTTGTCCATATTCCAAGCAGAACCACTAGACAAAGTTTTGCATTTACTCATATCCTGCTCTGTCCTCTTGAAAAACAGTACCAAAGTCAACAAAACCCAAACGTGCCCGCAAATCTCGTAGGTTCATTTAATATAAATAAAGCTTACGGAAACAAAAAAGTAATCGAGTGACTTTTCTATGCTTATCAGTATAGTAGATATTATAGAATTTTTTAAAAATAAACCTCTTTAGTGTATCTTCTCCAACGTTAAAATCTGTTCTTTTCATAACCCACCTTTCGCCGAGGTGCTGCAGACTTTCATGAATGCACCACACATCAAAGACAGAACAAAGAGCTCAGTGCCCTTAGATGATGACACTGTATTTATCGACGTCTGTTTCTGCTCCAAATTAACACTTAAAGGAGGATTTGCCTTCAACTAGCTCCACCCGGGTGACACAGGAGGGGGCGGGGATCCTTAATGAAGAGTAGCTGATTTTAGGGCAGCAACTCTTCTCCCTCTGGGAGCCTGGGTTTGGGCTGCGCCAATGGGCTTCTTCACACAAGATCTCACGACACCTTAGAACTGCTCGCCAGTGGAAGGAGCCTCGCCTCACAAAGAGATAACTAGGGCAGAGCTGTTACACAACCAGTACCCGACGCCAAGTGCCAGCCCGAGGAGTCCCCCAGGAGTCTCACTGGGGAGCCACACCATCGGCACACGAGGCAGCACTTTCGCTCGAGAACTATGTAACGCGACCCTCTACTAACAGCGGACTCGCCTGCGTGCGAAAATGGAAGGAGGGGAGAGCACGGAGGGAGAGGGTCGCGAACCACGGGGCGCGGGGGTGCGCCCTGGGGCCAAGGGCCCGAGGCGGGGGCCACCTCCCCACTGTCGTCGGTCACCCCCAGAGAGGCGGTACCTGTTTCCGCATGTTATTCATGACGCCCATGAACCCCGCCAACAGTTTAGCTTCTTCTCGAGCAGCAAGTTTCTTTTCTGTCTTCTTCTTGCTGCTCTTCTCCACCCCGGAGGATGCCATCCTCCCTCAGCTCGGTTCACGCCCCGGGCTGGCCGGGCCGGGCGAGGGGTCTCACTCTCTCTGGGCACTCTCGGGATTCTGGCCAAACACGGCGGTCAGGACCGCGGCTGCAGCGCCCAGTTTCCGAGTGGACGGCGGCGCCTCGGCCACTGAGGTAGGACAAGGCCTGGCGGCCCCTCAGGAACCTCTAAGGCACGCGACGTAGCCGGCTTGGCGTAATCTGAGCCCGAAGGCGGGCGGAGCCTGCGCACTTCGCTTAAGGGAGCGGGGTGGGCGGGGCGCTCTATGAAGGGAGCAAGGGGCGGAGCCTCGTGCGTCACAGCCGCGCGCCGCTCGGAGCAACCAGAGTCGCTGCTCTGGTGTCCCAGGTGTGTTGGTTGCTGCTGGCATGGGGTGAATTTAGCCTCGGAGCTGGTTGGAGGTTGTGCCTACACTCCCGTATGCTTAAGACAGATTTTCCAGGTGTAATTATGTGATTATCTTTTCTGAATAATTGGGCAGTGGAACACACTAAAGTGTCTCCCATTAGTGTAAGCTGCATAGGAACAGGGTTGGTGTTTTTTTCCCTGCAGTATCAAATCCTGGTGTATTGTAGGCGCTCGATAAATATGTATTAATAGTAAATGATGAATGAATATTACTTACTGCAAGTTAAAGTCTTGTTACACGGAGCACGAGATTTATTTTCTTGAGTTTCATAAAGCAAGAACACACAGCCCCGCCCCGTTGGTGTCTCCTTGGTGTGTAATGCCTGCCTACTAGGCTGGGTAAGTGTATGTTTAAAACTGAGATTGTTACAGTCCAGCCAGGTTCATTGCCCGCTGCTCTAGAGGAAGCCCATACACTGAGACAGCAGGAGTTACAGCAGAGAAAGTTTAATATCATACACACCATGCGAGGAGATGGGAGGAATTTCTCAAATCCATCTCCTCGAGAATTTGGGAGAAAGGATTTTTAAAGATAGTTTGGCAGGCAAAGGGCCAGGGAATTGGGTCTGCTGATTGGCGGGGGATGAGCTCATAGGGTTGAGATGCAGAAATTATTTTCTCAGTTGGGAGGTTTCCTGGGTAGGGTGTTTGAGGGGTGTTAGATCTGTTCCCAAGCCTATCCATGGGTCTGGCTGGCGTCAGTAGGTCTCCAGAATGCAGTCTTAAAGACCAGACTTAAGATTTACAACACCAATGTTATCTATGGAATCATAGGTTTTAGGGATTTAGGACTGCGGTGTTATCTATACAAGTAATGGAGGAAGTCACAAATCTTGCACCTGTCAGGGAGAATAGTGCCCTTAAGCTGTGAACCAACTTCTGCTAGCTTCCATCTTCTTCTGCAGCTTCCTCACCTTTCTCAGCCTTCATAGAATTGAAGAGATTTAGGACCTTGCTCTGGATTAGGCTTTTACTTAAGAGAATGTTGTGGCTGGTTTGATTTTCTGTTCAGACTACTAAAATTTTGTCCATATCAGCAATAAGGCTGTTTTGCTTTCTTATCATTCATGTGTTCACTGGAGTAGCACTTTTAATTTCCTTCAAGAACTTTTTGTTTGCATTCACAACTTGGCTAAATGGTGCAAGAAGTCTAGTTTGGCTTATGTCAGCTTTACACTTGCCTTCCTCACTAAGCTTCATCATTTCTAATGTTTGATTTGAAGTGAGACATGAGCAACTCTTCCTTTCACTCGAGCACTTAGAGGCCATTGTAGGGTTATTACTTGGCCTAATTTCAATATTGTTGTGTTTCATGGAATAGGGTGGCCCCAGGAAAGGGTACAGCTGGTAGGTGGAGCAGTCAAAACACACATTTATTGATTAAATTTGCTTTTATGAGCACGGTTCATGGCAAACCAAAACAATTATAAATAGTAACCCCAAAGATCACTGATTACCAAGACAGATATTATTAATCATAATGAAAAAGTCTGAAATATTACAAGAATTACTAAAATATGACACATACATGAAGTGAGTACATGATGTTGGAAAAATGGTGCCAGTAGACTTGATCAATATAGGATTGCCATGAGCCATCAGTTTGTAAAAACAAAACAAAATACAATATCTGTGAAGCACAATACATCAAAACACAGTCAAATGAGATATACCTGTATTATTAATTAATCCAGCATTTCCCAAAATGTATTCCTCAGAATGCTAGTCTTATGATCTTCTCCTGTCCCCAAATTGATTCCCTAGGAATATACTTGACAGGTCCTTGGATGGTGTTGGCAAATCCAGCTCTCCCCCTTCACTCTTGTAGTTCTCAAAATAACTAGAATGCAACATCCTGAGATAGGGAGGTAATGTCAGGAACAGTCTGGGTTGTGTCCTTGGTCTTCCAAGAAAAAGATGTGCTGCAAATGCTTATTCTCAGTGATCCTAGGGGTATGTGAGGTAAAGAAAAAAAACCCAGATCAGAGTTCTTTCAGAGTCTCTCAGCTGCAGTGGGACATTGGGCACACATAGATAAGTCTGCATCCATCCTCAACAGCTTTCCTGGTCTTTGGAGGACTGGTTCACCATGTATCCTAGGCTTCTGTTTATTCTTGCTGCCTATCTGTGAGTAATAAATCTACTTTGCCCCACTTGTACAAGTGTTCTGTCTCACTGGACTCATGCAAGTGGTACAGAACCTTTTCTTTGTAACAACATTGGGAGATATGTAAAATATGTCCTTGGAGAATGTAAAATATATCCTTGGAGAGAGTCCCAAAATATATTTTCACATTAAGTGTTTAAAGAAGATTTGCTGTACTGATTGCTCGAATCTAGTCAACTTTGCTGCAGTCTAGTGCCTTTTGAAGTGTCAACTTAGCCCATCCCCATTTTCCATGAAAATGGAAATCTTCTATCTACTTGTAGGATAGATCTCTGTACCAGCTGTACTTGTTCTATGGGACTTCACCTCTTCCTGGGCTCAGCATATTGGATCAAGGTTGAACACTTGAACCAAAGGAAGCCAATTAATAACCTGGGGTAAAGAACATCAGATTATCTTGGAACGCTGGACAGATAGATGTTGGTGGGCAGGTGTGTAGCAGTTCTATTAGGAGTATGTACAAGAGGCTCAGCCAGCCATCTTTGAAACATGTGTGTAGGTAAGCAGAGAAAGGCAGTCTACAGAGGCTGTAGAGTGTGTGAGTAAATAAATAAATAATAAACCAGAACCCAGAGAGAAGTTAAAGAAAAGACTAGGTAGTATTAATATGTGTGGGGGCAAGGGTGGTGGTAGTTGTGGAGTTTACCGTGAGATTATCTGACCTTAAAATTCAGGATCTATAACTTGAACAGGCTGCCTTCAAGGCTGGGGGCCTAGCAATGTGATCACATGGTCATTTGGGTTTTTTAACTTATAAAAATAAGATATTTTAACCACAATAGGTTTAGTCCATTGTCTTATTCTACTGTGATTTTTCATCTGTCATACTTCTTTTACTAGCAAGTGTATTAACATGGCTGTGAATACTTTGGGAAACTAAGCACAAATTGAGTTGGGTATATATTTTGTTGTTACTTAATGGGATATAATTTTATAGATCACTTATTTTCATATAGTTAAGCTATCTTCAGCCCTTCTGATGTATAAATGGCTTCCAGGAATCATCCCTATGCCCACTGTGCCAACTTTGTCTTGTGATGCAAAGATGCAGGACCAGAGAACTTCTCACAATGTTTGACAGAGCCCAGACTGGAAGTATGTAAGTGGCAGAGGAGAAACAAGGTTTAAGTAAATTTGGTCAGCCAAGCCGGAAGCTGGTCTGTCAAGAATTCTTTCAATCATCAGATATGTAAAATTGCTAAGCAGAAGATTTGGTACTCATTAACCTCTAGTCAAAAGTTGAAGGAATATATTTGTCATGACCATATTTTATAATACAATATATGAATTATAAATGTGGCCTCAACTTCCAGAATGGCAGAGATAAGGACCTGAGAAAATCTACTTTTTCATAAAAGCAACAAGAACACTGGAAATTTGTCAAAATTGACTTTTTCAGAATGTTAAAAATTAACTAAGAGCCTGTAACAATCTGAGGAGTATTTAAGAAAAATGGCTAAATCTCAGTAAAGGCAATGAGGCTCATGGTGTTTTAACTTTATTGAATCCCTTCTGCTCCCTCAATTTGTGGTAGCCTTAAAAGCCAACAGCAGGCCGGGTACAGTAGCTCACACCTGTAATCCTAGCACTCTGGGAGGCCAAGGCAGGTGGATCACTCAGGGTCAGGAGTTCAATACCAGCCTGAGCAAGAGAAACTCCATCTCTACTAAAAATAGAAAGAAATTGATTGGCCAACTAAAAATATATAGAAAAAATTAGCCAGGTATGGTGGCACATGCCTGTAGTACCAGCTACTTGGGAGGCTGAGGCAGAAGGGTCACTTGAGCCCAGGTGTTTGAGGTTGCTGTGAGCTAGGCTGATGCCATGGCACTTTAGCCAGGGCAAGAGAGTGAGACTCTGTCTCAAAAAAAAAAAAAAAAAAAAAAAAGCCAACAGCCTCACAACTATGGTAACTATGAAAACCACTAGCCTAGCAGCTATTGAAGGAGGAAGAACAGGTTAAGAACTTCCTCATAGCCCCATTCTCAGGGAATTTTTAGTATTTAACAAGTTTGGGAAAGTTCCATTCTCAGGGCTTGTATTTATTGGACCTGATTCAGAGCTTGCTTTGTGCAAATAGTCCTGCCAGCAGGGCATTAGACAAAAACAATAAGTGGCAATTGTTTAATGTTATAGCTGCCTGAAGCATTGTTACCAGTTGGGCCTAGCAAAAGGCTGACCTAAACACTTAAAAGGAAAAACTGGGTGTATTAGTCAGAATTCTCCAGAAAAACAGAACCAGTAATACAGATAGATAGATAGATAAATACACATACATACACACATATTTATTATGGGAATCAGCTGACACAATTATGGAAGTTGAGAAGTCCCATGATATGTTGTCTGCAAGCTGAAGAACCAGGGAAGCTGGTGATGTACTTAAGTCTGAGTCCAGAGGCCTAAGAACCAGGAGAACTGATGGTTTAACTCTCAGTCTAAGGTTGAAGGTCTGAGAAACTGGGAGGCTTCTGGCATAAGTCCCAGAGCACAAAGGCTTGAGAATCTGGAATTCTGATGTCTGAGGGTAGGAGAAGGTGAATGACCCAGCTACAGAAGAGAGAAAAATCACCCTTATGCATTTTTGTTCTATCTGGGCCCTCAATGGATTGGACCCACATTGGTGATGGTAGATCTTCTTTACTGAGTCTATTGATTCAAATGCTTATA